GCAATTCATGATGAGATTGATTCTATCATGCATAACAATACTTGGGTATTGGCTGATTTACCTCCTGGTTGCAAGGCATTAGGATGTAAATAGATCCTCAAAAGAAAAATGAAAGTGGATGGCACTATTGATAAGTATAAAGCCAGATTGGTTATCCAAGGCTTTAGACAAAAGGAAGGCATTGATTTCTTTGATACTTATGCTCCTGTTGCCAGAATTTCTACTATTAGATTATTATTAGCTCTTGCAGCTATACATAATCTTGTGATTCACCAAATGGATGTGAAAACTGCATTCTTGAATGGTGACTTGGATGAGGAAATATACATGAAACAACCTGAAGGGTTTGTGATGCCTAGAAATGAACACAAGGTGTGCAAGTTGAAGAAATCATTATATGGTTTGAAACAAGCACCAAAACAATGGCATCAAAAGTTTGATGATGTTGTCTTGTCTAATGGTTTTGCATTAAACCAAGCTGACAAGTGTGTATATAGCAAATTTGATACTTCTGGTAAAGGAGTCATGATTTGCTTATATGTAGATGATATGTTGATTTTTGGTACTGATTTAGAAGAAGTTGATAAAACCAAGAAATTCTTATCATCTAGTTTTGATATGAAAGACATGGGGGAGGCTGAGGTAATTCTTGGTATAAGAATTAGAAAAGGAAACAATGGGATTTCAATTTCTCAATCTCATTATATTGAGAAGATCTTGAAAAAGTTTAACTTTGAGAATTGTTCTCCTGTTAGCACTCCTATAGATCCTAGTCTTAAGCTTCTACCTAATAAAGGATCTCCAGTGTCTCAACTTGAATACTCAAGGGCTATTTGTTGTCTAATGTATGCCATGATTAGTACTAGGCCTGATATAGCATATCCTGCGGGAAGGCTTAGTAGATATACTAGTAATCCTAGTTCACATCATTGGCAAGCTGTGAGTAGAGTATTCAAGTACTTGCAAGGGACCATTAATTATGGTTTAACTTATAGTGGATATCCGTCTGTTTTGGAAGGTTATTCAGATGCCAGCTGGATTAACAACTTAGAGGATCACTCCTCTATAAGTGGTTGGGTGTTTCTTCTTGGAGGAGGTGCCATTTCTTGGGCATCTAAGAAACAGACTTGTATTACTAGCTCAACCATGGAGTCTGAGTTTGTTGCATTATCCGCTACTGGTAAAGAAGCTGAGTGGCTAAGGAATTTGATTTATGAAATTCCATTATGGCCCAAACCGATATCTACCATTTCTATCAGATGTAATAGTGCTGCAACATTGGCTAAGGCTTATAGTCAAGTATACAATGGAAAGTCTAGACATTTAGGTGTTAGACATAGCATGATTCGTGAGCTCATCATGACTGGTGTGATATCTGTGGAGTTTGTAAGAACTCAGTTGAATTTAGCCGATCATCTAACCAAAGGGTTAGCAAGAGATCTTGTGCACAAGGCGGCTGTAGGGATGGGTTTAAAGTCCACTTAAAATCTTTTATATTGAGATACCCAATTCCCATCTAATGTAATATTAGATGCTGAATTCAATGTGGAAAGCTTGATATTTGAAGATTGGAACACATTATTATCATCATCCCAAGGTATGTGTTCAGTACTGCAAGTAAAGGAGGTTGAATTTATATTCTTAACAGTTCTTTTGAAAAATTGCATTTGCAGGTGCAAGAATAAAAAAGACTACCTATATAAGCATGAAGTTTAGCTGCTTCAAGAAGTTAGGACTTGGCTTTGATATGCTTATAGAAGGATGGGACACAAGCTAGTAAAATATAGTGTCAAGTTAGAACTTATGAGAATATAAACTGTTGTGTGTATTATTTTCATGTATTCACTATGAATAAAAAGGGTTCAATCCTTAGAGACACCCTGATATTCGAATATTTGGATTGAATAATATACTAATGTGAAATTCAATCGTTACGACATTTCATTTATGCATCAGTTTGTTGTTGTTATGTTTTGTTTTAAGTTAATCAAGATTACACTTAAATGGGGGAGGTTTGTTGGTGATTTTGCATCATCAATGTGTATTTAAGTGTAATGAATTGACTTGTTGACCAAAAATCAATCTTGATGAATATTAAACAAGGAAGGTGCGGAGTGCACACTTGTTTGATTTTTATTCAAGATTCAAAGTAGACTGTCATTTAGGGGCGAAACCCCTAAACGAACAGGAGTCCGGGGGCAGCGCCCCTGGGAGCGAGGTCCAAGGGGCAGCAGCCCCTGGCGGGGTCCAAGGGGCAGAGCCCCTGATTGGTTATATTGCTATATAAAAAATGCCTTAGAAATATGAATTTTCTATAAATGAACCCGGTTTTTTTTAACTTCGTTTTAACACTTTTTAATGATCCGGTTTTAGTGATAGTTTATGACTGTTATAAACCGTTTTGACAGTTGGAGTAGTTTTTGGACAAAGAAAACTGCCTTGATAGTTTTCAGACAAATGATATACATAATCATTCTTTGGTCATTATTTTCCTGGTATAAGAACAATCACGAAATCATAACTTCATATTCTCTATTCTAGAAACTCTAACGAGTCTTATCCGATTAAAGGTTGGGAGTACCACCCGAATACTTTAATTTGAAAGTGTTTAACATGATTCTCAGGATTTTCAAGTCTTTTCATACCCCAATTTTATAACAGAGAGAAGCCGGTGGTGGAGAACGATCGGCTGTAGGGCATCCGATTAGCAGAGACGACACACATATGTGTAGAGAACAAACAGATGTATGCATCTGAGGAAGGGTATTTTTGGTTTTCGTCAAAGAGACGTTGTGCGCTTCATCGAGTCTGTGAGGGTACCATGGACTCGAACTTGGACGGTGGTGGCAATATCTAGTCGCCTCTGTTTCCCACAGAAAAACTGCTCCGGGTCGACCTATTGTGTCTGCGTGTTGATTTATTACAAAAGAAAGAGAAGACAACATTTGGATGAGAAGGTATGGAAGGATGAAAGAGAAGAGAAGGTTTGGATAAGGAAGAAACCGGAAGGAAAGGCAGAAGGAAACACGTGTGACAAACAATATCGATATTGGCATAAAATGACCTAAAAGATGATTTGAACAGACACATATAGACAAATGACCAATTATGCCAACCTTACGCAATTTACTATTCCTAAGCACGCACAACTTCAATGTATATATATAATAATAATAATAATAATAATAATAATAATACCTAGCGGTAATAACAATAATAAGATTAATAACAATATTAAATTATATATTCGAAAAATAATAAAAAAATATTATTTATAAAAGAATTATTATTAATAATTAAAAATAACAATATAATTAATACTAACTTTAATAATAAAGGTAGAAATAGAGATAATATGATAACAATAATAAACAATAGCAAATACAATATAATACACATTATCAATAATAATAATAATAATAATAATAACTAGTGTATGAACCCGTGATTTTAAATGATAAACGTTTCAATTATTAGTGTTACGTATTGTACACTTAAAAAGGTAGTAAAGGACATGATATAGATGGTATTTTATAAATGAAAATTTCTTCCTTCCACTAACTGTAACTGTTGTATAATTAGTTTATTTGATATAGTTCGTTTCCATAAGGAGATCTCATTTTGAAATAATGGTGAAGAACAAAGTCATGATTTCCCTATAAGAAAGTTGGCCTTTCCCGGTTGTAATTTTAATTTCCGCTTTTACCTAGTCCTTTATGCTCTTCCTTATACAAAATTTGGCTTCTTTCTAATAAAGTAGTTGGGTTATGTTTTGGATGTTTATTCGTTGAAAATAGTAGCAAAAATTAAGAAGTCTAAGTAAAGGATATCATATCTGAATTTTCAGAAGAAATGGGTGAATTGATGAACAATTTCACATCCATTCTATCGTATTCTATGTTAACAAATACCAAACCGAAATGCACCTATGCTTCAGATCAAGTGTTCAAATTGTATGAATATAAACTTTTAGAAACATAAAAGAATGACATTGTACTTTAAAAATATGTAAGAAGTGGTAGTAAAGTAAGCCTATTATAGCATTATACTATAAAAAAGAAAAATAATAATCATTCTTTAAAAAATGTCAATTTTGGTAGCAAAATATGCCCATAATAGCATTATACGTTAAAAGTAAAAAGAATGGCATTATACTTATAAAAAATGTCACAATTGGACTCTTGGATTGAAATGGAAATCCAGATTTGATGAACTGTAACATACTCTTAATCAATCCAAATATTATACTCGATTCCATAAAAGTAAATTTGAAACTAACTATTCTAATTAGCAACTTACTATGTGGGTATATTATAAAATTCTTTTTCCTAATTGATCAAAAATCAAGCGAATGTTAACTAAAACAACTCTAAAATTTAATTTTAATGAATACAAAATTCTTATTATGTTAATGAAAACCGGAAAACCTGGATCTTAAATAGTCATTCATTATCCATTTTCAAGATTATCAAATTCTTACCTTTGGATTCTAACAAGGGCAAAATCGTATTTTACCCTTATCCATGATGATGACGTAATTAAAGGATGTTATGGAGCAAAATTTCAAGAAAGCCATTAAACATTTTTTTCAGGTTTCCTTTAATTCATGGTATTGTAAAAACATTTTTTGAATAATCATAATTGAAAATGAAACAGAAAATCAATAATTATCACACATACAAAAACTTCTTTATTTGGGAAAAAATATTATATATTGGAAAAAAAAACCAAGAAAAAGAGGGAAATTTAAGCAATTTATTTACGTGGGACCATTTTGTAACAGATTCATGATATTTATTTAACTAAAAAGTATCTGAATGTCAACATTTTACCACATAAACGACCTAGTTAGCATTAATCAGTAAACGTGGCACATTTTTGTAATGGTAATTCTATCTTATGTTATACATAATGTTATGTTGTGATGGTCAGTTGTTGGTGCTATGTTGTTGGATTGATTGTTGCCCTTGCTGTTGTCTTTCTTGTGCGTTTCCCTTTTGTTAGTCGTTGTTGTTCATAAGTGGCATCTGTAATAGCAGAAAAAATGTTATGCGTTATTTTGATACCCACATAGTATAGTTATGTAACATACCAATGTTAGCCGTTTTTCGGATTTGAGTGTTGTTGCAACAGGTGTCGACTTTTTTGTTGTGACCGTAATGTGTTCTGTTGTTGTCATTGGTGTAACTGGTGTGTTTGAAGGGATGACAACCTTGGGTTCTCGATTTCCAGTTTCACTTGTTGAGGTGATTATGAAGCGGATGTTGTTGGTGGCTGATAAATTTGTGCATTGTATAAACCAATTTCTTGTTGATCCTTTGCATCTCTCTAATGTTGGGGGTAGGATATCCCTTGGTTGACTTAGATTGCGGTTGATCAGTTCTTCTGAGGTAGCGTTTGTCAATGTTTGTGTGGCTTCATCTGACAGAAAAATTGTCATTGAGTTTGTGTTGTCTATGACAACAGTTGAAACTTTGTAACTGTTATTAGATGAAAAATTATTTGTTAGTGGGTATGGATAATTGGAGTATGGTGCAACAAAGTTGTTACTCACAGAATTTTTGGATCATTGATAGTTCCATGTGATATACAGAACCACCCATTTCCCTTTTTGTGTGTTGATTTTGCATAGGTATTGCCAGGAACATGGTACCAACAATCTTTGAACGTAAAGTCTGTTATTGTAGCCTCTATGACGAATTTCTTCCCCTGATACATGTTTTAATTAGATATTGAACGAATGTTATATGTGTTTTTTTGGAGATAGGGGATGAGGTGAATAGTTACCTCAATGTCGGAATAATTTGAGTTTTTGAGCTGTTGTAGCGTAGTTGTTACTACTATGGGACTAAGCCTTGGACGAAATTCAGTTCCAAACCTTGTAATTGGTTATATTAAGTTTAAAAAGTTTGGATTTTTCAATAGAGGGCTCAGTTGTGGAATAGAGTATTAATGCTATTTATCAGTATATTAGATTGTCAATTACCTTTGAAGAGGAGTTTCGGTTTCAAAAATTGGCGGATTGATATATAGGTATGTTGCCATGCTACTTGTTAAGGTTAAGCTTCCTGTTTAGAATACAAAATTAGTTAATATTGAATAATGTGTCACATTGGTGATTTGATAAGAAATAATGTTGTAAAACTAACCGTTATACATTGTTGCCTTGACATTTGTTAGAGCAATGACAGATGTGTTGGGATTAGACATAATGACATTCCGGTCAAACTTTGTAGGTGAGTCTATGCATTCTTTCCATAAAAGTATTGTGATCTCCTCAGCACTTGTGTAGGTGGTGATGAATTAAAATGTTAGTCCTATGCATTTGTCGGATGAGATTTATTTATGATATATATTACTTACTTTGCGTTTGCAAGTGTCATTGCCATGACAGGTTCCTTGTTTTTCTTCTTTCGTTCCCTTATGTTTATTAGGACCCCGATGAAATCTAAAGATAGTTTTAATTGCAATGAGTATGTTTTTAAGGAAGTTGTGTACATATGTTCTACAATGTAAGGTAATCTTTGTGTCTACATGCAAACTATACCTGGATATTCGATGTTCTTGTCAGCTATGGTATGTAAGTGAGCACGTGGTTGGAATCGAAACCATACTTTTAGAAGGGATCGACATTCAAATATTTGTTCAATTGTTGATGCCTCCCCAATGTTAATGTGAACTGGGTGATCTAGAATCTTTTGGTATTTATCTGGAGTTGTACATGTGTAATTTGTAATGCGATAGCATTCATTGAGTAGTAGTTTTGATTCTATAGTTGTTTCATCTTTTTTTTGTTCAAGTAGTTGGATTGCATCTCCCTGTTGAAAAAAAAAAGCAAGAAAGTTGCAGACATAAATGTGGATGACTGAGGTGGTTTGTGATTCAATTTGTTCCTTACATGTTTGTCCACAATGATGAACCATGTGTCCTTTTTCCTGAAGTTCGATGTCCATTCTCGAAGCACATGTATCTCTAGTGGTTTTCCCAGTGCTCCTAAGTAGAGGTTGGATATTCTATCCATATCTGGCATCACTTGGGTGCTAGCATAAAAAAATTGTTGATTAGTTTTTTAGTAAGTGAAAAACAATAATATGGTGACCATGGGGTTTGAAATTCTGTAACAAAACAATTTTACACATTGGGTTAGATAGATCATATTACAAATACATATATATGATATAAAACCTCGCGCATTTCAACTTTCACCAACAAATCTTTGAAGACAACGTTCTTGGTACTATTCATTGGTAAATCTTCCTCTTGTTGTAATAGAATTTTAATTGAGTCGGGTGAGGTAGCTCTAGATAGTGCGACGTATAGTTGACCATGTGTGAAAACGTAGTTTTCAAGAAATAGACCGACTTTTTTAGCGATTGACCCTGACTCTTGTTTATGGTCATTGCATAGCAAACTTTTACTAGGAATTGTTTTCTTGTGAAAATGAATGGTAGGTCTGGACTATTGTGAATAAACTTGATTCTTGGAATATACACCCGTTTGCCTATGCATGTTCCTGTTAGTATGGATGCCTCAATGACCGACGGTAGCAACTGTGTAATAATCAAACGTGTCCCATTGCACATACCTTCTCTTTGATTGATATTTCTTAGCAGCATTATAGGTGTGTTTAACTTTAACACAAGTTTATGTGTGGGAACACCAGAGAAATCTAAGTTATTTAGGTAATCTTGTGGATAAAGTGTATCCAAGTCCAATGCATCTCGAGTGTGACAACCCGATATTTCGAGACAATGTAATGTAAAACCAATCAAATTTAGGTCAAAATATAACTTTCCTAAAATCTTATTTGGGTTAAATAAAGTAGTAGGAATCGTATCAAGGTTTTCGTACATATAAAGAACCCTAAAATCCGAGTTATAACAAAGAAGTTATGACCAACCGAAGATTCTCGGCAAAACCGGCAACACCGATTAAACGAAAAACGTGAAGTTTCAATACAATAGTTTTTAGTCTTAAGTATTTAAATGAAAGTTATAGATAACCTCAAACCGTGAGCATACATAAAAAGAACGTCCAAATCTGACTTCGTATGAGGAAGTTATGATTTTTCCAAGATTCGGGTATAGCAGTAGACAACTAAAAACTCGAAATAGAGCTCAAGATACTTTTGACCAAAAAAACCTAAATGAGAATCTAAGGTCTCAACATTAGTAGCGCAACGATGAAAAGTCTGACGAAAACGGACATCGGATGAAGAAGTTATGGATTTATAACGGAATTATCGCGTCCCGGCCCGTTAAAAATAAATAATTAAAAATAAAGTCATATTTCCCGATGAAGTCTAAACGAGAGTTGTAGATCATGTTTTTAGCTACGCGTGCATGTAAAGAACGTCGAAAACGGAGCTCGTACGCGAAAGTTATGGATTTTACAAGTTCGAGGTCCGAAATCCGAGGCTGTCAGGCTTGCCACGACGTGGCACTAGCTTGCCGCGACCCGGCAAGTGACTGAGGGCATCCAATCAATGGAAGAGGATAGGTTTGACTCCCCACGACGTGGCCATCACTTGCCACGACGTGGCACACCCAAAAAACGCCCCTATAAGTAGATTTCAAGGGTTCCGAGCTCCATTGCTCAGCTCCTTTCTTTCTCGCACCGAAACTATGCGTTTAAGCCCCCGAGACCCTCCCAAAGCCCCGGTTTTCACCTTCAAGTCCCGAAGGAAGGTTTTGTGTTCCCGAGATTCCCGAGATTCTCGAGAATCCCGAGATTTCCCGCGTTTTCAACTCTTCCTGTCGAAGTTCTCCTCGATTCCTCTCTCGACTACTTCAAATCAACCACTTCAATCAACTGAGTTCATACACCTTAACTAATGTTTTAAACTCTTTTTAAATATTTTTTTTTGGGGGGGGGGGGATACAAGTAGAATCATGCTACTTATTATGTCAATCACATGTGATTAGTAAGTAGGATTATATTACTTATTACATCAATCACATATGATTAATATACAGCATTCAAATGATTTGGCTACTCATTAACCGTTTTACCAAACAGTTTCCTTCAAATGACTTTTTATAAACATTTTATATGTTTTAAACTCCTTTTTACACTGTACAGCTTACTCCGTACATTACCTTTCAAACTTATTTAGAATTGTGTTTCAAACAAATGTTTCCTTATACTTAAACTGTTTTATTAAACTTATGCCTTCAAATTGTTTTATAGATTGACATCAAGTCGATCTTTTCTTAAAATAATACTTATATTTCAAATGTCTTACAAAACTTATTTATGCTTTTATATTATAAATTTCATGCCTCTATATGTATAGTTATATAAGAAATGTTTAAAAGACTTAGGAAGGCTATCCACCCTATTTCCTTTTCGCGCCTTGAGATGTGGTCTGGTGGGATATTGGGTATTCGTCCGAAATTCGTTTAAATATTAGTTATATATCATGTGTACATATATAGTCATAAAAGGTCTTTCCAGTTCATCCCATGCCCTTAGTTAGTAAGGGTATACATCCATGACCATACGTACCAGTTAGACTGCTAGTAAACTACCATATGGGTAGTTTAGGAAGATACTAGAACCGTTACTAGAACGCGATATCATACAATGAGTCAGTTCATTCATGAGTCAATACTTTCTAGAGCATTACATATACAACTATACTAGGACGAGAACATATACAACTATACTAGGACGAGAACATATACAACTATACTAGGAAGAGAACATATACAACTATACTAGAACGAGAAACATTACCCTTACATTAATACATTAACAACTGTGATCCACTGTATCGGAGCATGCCTTAAATGTCATGGCCCGAGTTGTAGCCAGGAGGGAGAGCGTTGAGTTTGCGTATATATCTATACTGGATTGACAATCCTACACCTTGCTGCTAGCTACAGCCGGACCTGCAGGTCTGCGGGTGCCAAACGTCATTCCGTTATTACGACCGTTCTTTATGTCATTGTTATCAGTCGATAGTATGGTGCAATTATCACATTATACCTTAATATAAATCCGGTTTAAGGTAGTTAGTACAGCAGTAGTTCCTATAATACAAAACTACAGTACTACAATGATTTACCCATTACATTTTTAGCAATAACCTCACTTAAACTTTAATGTACAAACTATATTTTGTTAAAAGATAGTTACACTTGGGAAATTACACACTTTTACATCAAACGAGCATACAAAACAGTTAAGCCTTGGTAGAAGGCTACTTTAATAAAAAAATATAGGTTTTTCTGAGAGATTCAAACTTTTTCAAATTCTTACAATACATAGACTTACAAATTCTTACATGCAAATTAAGACACTAAATACTTATGATCTCACCAGCTTCAAAGCTGATACTCGCTTTCAAAATTACTTGTATCCTCAGGTCATCATAGACAGGTACCGATGCAAGGAGAAAGGAAGATGGAGCTTGTTCAAGACTTATCTTTCATTTTGATTTATGCTTTAGTGTTTATCAAAATTTGACAGAATACAATTGTATAATAATTATTTTATTAATGCAATGGATGATATTCTTGCTTGTTTACTACTTTACATTGTTGTTGATATTATACATAACGTCCTCCGTCCCAGAACGTTTCCGCCGTTCCTGGTTTTGGGGTGTGATAGATTGGTATCAGAGCATTGTTTATAGTGAATTAAGTATATCTACCCATAAAAGATATACTAACTATAAATACATAAGGGATTAAAAATACTCTGACCAAGAGTTTATACTTTAAATAGTAAAATATTTAAGTAAGTATACGTGCTGCATTCATACTAAAATCAGTGTCACTAGGACAGTACAAAAGAATTACGATTGTTGGACAACACAAGTGGGCTTAGAGACATATGGTCAAAACTGGGAAGATATAGCCTGATCACCTATATTATCCGAGGGTTGACTAGCATGTGCCTAAGCTTAAGTGTGTGGTTGCAACAATGCTAAAATCTTACCAACCCTACCACAATGAGAACAATAGAACATAACATTAAATTTTAAAATACTATAGGAGTATTTGGTGTTACTAGAAGTACTTTATACTTGAGAACTAAAACGGGATCTTCATTTCTAAGTTGATAGTTGCTAAGTGGATACACTAAGGCTATATGTAATTAGGATGTTATAGACTTAGAATCTGTGATAAGTTTGCCTTACCCCTATTCTGTGTGAATTTGGAAATTAAGGTCACTTATTCGAAGGTCTATCCTGTTTAGATTACACATAGCTGGTATGCACTTCACAAATAGCGATGTAACTAATGAAGGTTTTCTAAATAATTATCTAGATAGCTCGTCTAATAATTATTCTCTTACCCTTAAATTCTCGCATAGAAAACATAACTGGACTCCATCCCCTCGACAACCAGTACCTTCCAAATGAAGTCATAGCTGGTTGGTTTGGAGAATAACCAGAGAATGATCATCCTTTTCCTCTTGAATGATCACCATGATGAAGATTTTTCATATGATGCTAACTCCGAAGCAGAGGTTGAAAACCTACCCCGAGCAGCTCCCTTTCCAATTCCTAACCCTCGTCCGACTTTTTCATGGCCTGACCCTGAGTGAGTGGAATGCTTGGAAATATGGAGCCAAGGACAAGATCAATCTATGCTATTTGATGGTGACAGAAGCTTTTCCGACTTGAGCAGTGGGGGCTCAGCAGATAGAGTCTTGCCAATCTTGGTCCGCAGAATGGCCTGAAAGGAGATTCAAGGCAGGACAGCCCTAAATCAAATTTCAGAAGTAGTCACCTATGCTAGAATGCATACCCTCCGCACCGTTCGTCTAGAAGATGCTCACGAGAGGTCAGAGAGAAACCATGAAACCCTGCTGCAAGCACTGGCTGAATCACGAGCTGAAGTCATAGGGCTCCTAGTACGCCAGATGGTGTACGAAAGACACCTACTTGACATGGAACGTCAATTGGCTGAACTAAGAGTTCACCAGAGTGATGACCGTCGCCAGTAGTAGACGCTTTACTTTATTTCCTTATAAAGAAGAATCGTAATTTTCTATCTATACCTGATGTGGCATTTTCTA